TCATTGTTCACATGCTCCATCCATGGTATTCACAGCGTTCTTCATTAGAACCACATCTCTTTTGCCTTGAGTCTTCTCTTCATCTGTGAGGAAAATGTCCAGTATTCACTGCCATGTAGGAGAACTGATATTTTTCACTGCTTATAACTTTTCTTTGTTACTAACAAAATTTTCATTTTTCTTAATACTTTGTTTAGCTTTTAGAAGGCATCTTTCTCTATTTATACTATTTAAATTGTTCGGACTATTGTCCTCATCTTTATTGTCATATTCACAATATTTTGACCATTGTAGGCTCCAGCCTTCTTCAGGTGATATACAGTGGAATTTCAAACTGAACACTTTATTTTGTCCACCAGAGTAGATTGTTCTAGTTCCATGTGCCATGCCTTTTCTGGATATCTTGGTTTCCGTTATTTTTCTTTAGTAACTCAACTCTCCAAGTTTTTATTCATTCCCTCTGCTGTGGCCAGGTATTGAACTCACAACTCTTTGGGTCAAGTCACTGGATTACTTTAACGCTTTTATCCACTGGGCCATGTGTCCTTGGGGATAAAAACGATGGTTGAGGTAATCCAGTGGATGAAATAAAGGGTTTGGTTCAAAATTCCAACATATAGCATCTGAAGAAGGCTGGAGTGTACAACAGCTGAAACATTGGGAATATGACAGTAAAGATGAAGACAACAGTCTGAACAATGTAAATATTGTAAATAGTTACAATACCTCATCTCATAGATATAGACAGACATCTTTCTCTGTATTCAGAGTTTTGGTGTCACACTTTGTCAGCCATTAAATCGTTTCCCAGATAGTTAAATTTCTGTACTTGCTTAATTCTGTTGTTTCCAATTTGTAACTTGCATTTTGGACTGTTCCAAGATAAGATTATATATGTATTTAATATATAAGCTTCCATGATTCTGCTGAATTTCTTACCAGCTTAGTATGTCGCATTTAGTTGATTGCATGCTTCATTCTGTCTGCAGAGATTTTGTTTGATAATTCCTTTTGTTTTTCTAATCTTTGGGAATTGCTTACACTTGGATTGGTATTTGCTGTCATGGAATAAAGAAATAATTGGCATTGTTGGCTGACGTTTGGGATAATCCCATATATTTGCAAGAGGTAATCAGATCCAATCCCGTGCTATTTAACAGCTTATAGAAAGTGCTGATCTCTCTTCCTCCCTCATTTTCTTTCATTGCAGTAAAGAAAGACAGCAATTCAGTCTAGACTTTGAGACTATTATCAAGCTCTGACCCATGTTAGTCGTCTTGCTGCTTAGCATCTAAACCATGTAGGGCAATTTCCTATATCAATCTCATAATCACTCAACAGTTTCAAAGCTGGGCTATGGCGCTAAGTTTTCCAGTAGACTTACATTCATATAACACAAGAAATATATCTGTATCTTTATAAGAGAAATGTCATTCTGATGGATTGATAACATTTAGACAGTGGTACAGTTGTCTGTTTAGAGGTCTTGGCTCATTGGTAACTATTTTATCATCTTTAAGTTGCTACTATCACATTTAATGAACTTGATAGTTTTGTTTACCTTTGCATCATTGGATAGAAGCTTTTATTATCATGGACAAATCAAGAGAAAAATTCAGAGTCAAAGAGAAAGAATGAATGAACAAATTTATCAATTCCATCAACTGACAGCTCAGAAAAAATGACTAAAATCAGTGGATATTATGTTTCAAAATCATTTCAGTTCTATTAGGAATTTTATTTAGTTTTCACTTTGAATCTATCGCAAAGGATTATAGGTCCTGACACTGACAAGTATGAAAATGGTCCTCTTGTGATTAGTAAATTGGCTTGATGGATTTTATGACTAACTTTTGTTGGGTTTCAAAATCTCTGCTTTATTGTATAATGTACTATCAGTAGAACCCGGCATTGCCCAGGGATGTAACAGTAAGAGATAGATCAAGTATCGACCATCATAAAGACTGAAAAATAAAATTGACAAAGATTATTGTTTAAGGTTGACGGACACGCATGTCTTAATTAGTTTTTTTTTTTTTTTTGTTTTGTTTTTGTTTTACGAATTGGTCAAACCCAAACTCAAACAAAAACATTATTTTCAATCATTATGAGTCTACCGATTAAATAGAATTTTATTATAAAAAATTGTCTTGTAAATGGAACTTTTAAAGCATTCTGAATGTAAAAATAAAGAAAAAAGTGTATATAAACAAACACACACACTCAAACAACCTGGGTTTTATAATAAGTATAACTCGATATGAGTTGTCTCCCTTTCATTCTCGTGATAGTGATGTCTCTTAATTGATCTCATGCAAAAACAATTGCGTTTTTCCAATTTTTGGTGCTGTCAGAACTACCGCAAGGTAATTTTACGTAGTCCTGTGAAGTTTTGTTGAAATCGGTTGAAAAATGTAGGAAATCTGATCCAATATATAAACGAACACACACACACACACACACAACCTGGGTTTTATAATAAGTATGATTTTAGTGTCAAAATCTATTTTTCATTATACTTGGTTCCGTAGATAAATAGTTTGGGAGCTGCATGTAAATGGTCTCAGGCTTATACGGGAATCCATAGCTTATCATTGGTTTGGTTTATACTTGAATCTATAGTTAAATAGTCTAGGGTTTATACCTGAATCTATAGGCAAACATTGGTTGGTTTTATACTTGAGTCAGTAAGTAATTATTGATCAGGTTTATACGTGATTCTAGAGATAAATATTGGTTTTGTTTATGCTTGAGTCTACAGTGAATGACCCTAAGTCAAATGTACCACTGTCTAGATATTATCAATCCATCAGAATGACACCTTGCCTATAAACATGCATAATATTTCTTGTGTTATATGAATGCAAGTATACATATGAGTGGAAAACTTAACATCATAGCCAGACTTTGAAACTGTTGAGTGATTATGAGATTGATATAGGAAATTGCCCTACATGGTTTAGATGCTAAACAGCAAGCTGGGAGGTTTTGTCAAGTGTAGAACCACCTCTTAATTGCTGCTTTTCTCAGGTTCTCCCTGACCTGAGGTGGTAGCACCTTTTAGGGTCCCAGCTATAGTGAACTCTTCAAACAAAAACACTATGAAAGTATAAAAATACATTTTAATAATAAAAATACCAGCAATACATTTTGATATAAAAGGATCAACAATACATATAGTAAAATGGCCAGTAATACATTTTATCTGTAGTTGAAGACATACAATTGTGTTCAAAATATATTTAATTGAAGCCATGAAAATGTGTTATTTAGATTTTGGCATTAAATAACCCATAGAGATTGATATGCTGTTAAACAAAATCACTCAATAGAAATGAGCTTTCATGATATTAATCCATATAATATCCTACAATTTCTTAAATTAAACTGTATTCCAAAATATAACTTCAACATAAAACACACATACCACCAGCTCTATTAATTATGTCCACACAAATATGTATATGCACAAAAGCTAAGTATTATCTACCATGTATTCAATTGTGAAAGCAGAATAACATATTTTTATTACTTCAAAGCTCCCAAAGTAATTAAATTTTGGCATAAGGAGTTGATATGACATTAATCAAATGAACCAACCAAACCTAATTTTGGTTTTCTTTCTGGTAAGAGTTGTAATGATGGCATGCATGACACCAAACAACTCTGGAAAATTGCATATCTTGCTAATGGAAAGTTGTATACCTGTTAAGTTGACCTCACAGCAGCATATGACCACATCAAAAGAGACTTCCTCTTTTCATCCATTAGAAACTGCCTTACAAGCTCTAACTGAACTAAATGTCTAGATCTGATAAAGAAACTATATTGGTACAGCAAATTGTAAATATCTGGTAAGGACTCCAATACTGAAATATTTCAAACCTCATTAGGAATACAACAAGGAAAAAATGAGAGCCCCATTTTATTTAATCTTTTCCTCAACTATGCCCTGTACATATACAAGTATAGATGTGAAGCAATGGGCACTGATCATTTAAAAATTCCACATCACATCCCAAACCAATCTACTAATAGAAAACAGTGTTTTTGCTTTCCTTCCCAAGGCTAATATACTGATGATTTGCTATGCTGATGACATAGAAATTCTTAGCTGGGATAAGTATGAACTTGAACAAATGAATCAATATTCTCTACCAAGTTTTCCAAGAAGTAGGATTCAAAAATAAATCTTTCCAAAAGAGAATCAATGATCTTGAATTGAAATAAAAGCAGTGATGGCACATGACCTTAAGCCATCAAAAATATTCAGGATCTGGATTTAGTAAATACCAAGCACTTGAAATTTCTTAGTGTGTGAATCAGTTATATCAAATTGACCATAAGAGGCAAGGAAATTAATCATTGAATTGCACTTGAGGTAGTTTTACCCAATACCACAAATTACTACAAAACAAAAACATTAACCTGACAGCTTGAACCATGTTCTTAAAATAGCCTTATCAGATCATGACTTTCATATAGATGTCATGCATGGTGTCAAACCCATTCAGAAATATTTAAATTGTAAGCTGTATACATCCACTTTATAAGATCAATAGTTAAAAATGGCTTTGAGTGAAACCTGTGGATCTTGGTGAAGACCATACCACTTTGAAAATTGTGAACTGACATTACAGAATCACAAAGAAAGGACTGCATCAAATAACAGAAACCATATCACTTGATGACTTTTATCAACAGCAACGACATCAATACTGGAAAGAGCAATGACAGCAAATTTGAGAAATCTATTCTGCTGAAAAATTGTTTAAATAGAGGGATTTTATAAATTTCACCTGAAAGTAGTAGGCCAATGAATGCTAAATGTTTCTTTATAAGGAAACAGTTAATACTGCCATTACCATTAATGGATGTTTTTTCCTAGGAGAAACAGTGACAAAGATTTTCTAATGGTACAATTCCAGGCACAGCTTGTTCATTGCTGTCAGATTTCAGATTAATGGCTACTCATAAAAACAGCAATTAGAGCAAATAATATGTTCTCCCTTTTTTTCTTTCCTTTTTCTTCTGTGCACCAGAAGAAAAAGAGTAAATAGAAGCCATATTTGAAAAACTGGTTTTTAACAATTTATTCATTGTGAACTCCAAAGATGCTAATCACCTTGCTATGTGTTGCTAGCCTAGAAAGCCATGCATATTATTTTAAGATATTTTCTTTTCTACTTTGTTATAATTCTTGGACCAATGTTTTAAAATTGGGTTTCTTTCCATCATATTATTTGTATTAATATTCAATATTAGAGATTATCAAAAATTTCTCAGACTCTGTGTTTTGGATAGGCCAACTGAAATTCATTGCAAATCATTTTATTTCCCAAAACTAAACATTAACAATTTGGCAATTTTCATAAGATTTTAATATCATAATATGAACTACAGTATTAATCCCCCAAGGGAGATGAAAGGTTTCATTGGAAATATCTAAGACAGACACTAGTTGTGTTAACTGAAGGAAAATTGGCATGAATTATGAATATGGATATAGTAATGGATAAGCTTAAAACAGTTGTGAAAGGCATTTAATTACAATAAAATTAATTAGTACATACAATTGTCTGGGTTAGAACTTTCAAAATAAGACAGTTTTAACTTGTATTATTGGGCAAAATGAGTGTCCACCTTTCACCAATGGAATGATGACAAGTGAAATAAACCAACAAGCCCCAAACTGAGTCACGTTTGACCAAAATTCAAATTTGGAATTAAAGTTGGTTTGGCTGAACACAGCTATGTGATTCAAAAGGATAAAGCCATCAAAACCCTCCCAAGTTGTTATGTATATATGGAATTCAACTAGAAACATCACAAAAGGAAATACTACCATAATCCTTGCCATCAGTTCATTTTTAATGTTACAAGGCATTGTGTTGTTCTCTCCCTCAACTGCACCTCACACATAATAAACAAGGGGATTGCAGTCTGGGGAGTTAAGTGGTCAGATATAAGAGGTGATGTGGTCACAGAAATTGTCTGACAGCTATGACTTGTTTCTCCTGCTTATATTGCATGGTGCAGAGTCTTGTTGCCAGGCATAGGGTCTTCCAGCAGTAACCCTCTTGATCCAGGGCAGCATTACCTCCTCAAGGCACTTGATGTAGTCCTCCACGTTGAGTCTGAGGCCCTGTGGGAAGATGAATGGAGGCATAATGCCACCATCCAAACACCATGATGTTGACTAGATATTTGGTTTTCATCACTCTCAGTAAATCTTTTGAAGACACAGCATCCTCTGCATTGTCCTTAGATTGACACCCAAAGACACTGAAATGTTTGTATTGGAGCATTTGGCATGAATGCCTAACAGTACAGCATGCCATTTCCAAATTTCTGGCAGAGTGAATCATATCATCATGCTCTTTTTCTCATAGGTGGTGCCCAACTGACCCTACTATACTGTGCAGTCAACAAAATCAAAAACAAACAACACATATGTGTGAAATTAAAAATATAAAATGGCAACAATTTACACATCACACCTAATACATCTGATGCTTTGAAACACATCATCTGTGATGTTTTTAACTGTGAATCATTAGGATTTTTCAGGTCTCTACAACAAAATACCCCTTATCTACGGTGGCCCCCATCATTAGTGATCAGATATAAATTTGTGCACTATTAGTTGCAACAGTTCTCATAGTGTAAGGCTCTTCTAACCAACTTTAACTCTTCAGGCCTTTATATTTCAATTACAACTAAATTTCTTTTATTAAGCCTTGTGGTCACATCATGTTGAAAAACCAGTTCCTGTATGATCACCAAAGTTAAGCAATATCAAACATGGTCATTACCTAGATGGAAGACTGCTTAGGAATACTAGGTTCTGTAAGCTTGAATATGTGAGTAGTGCAATAGATAATTGCTTAGAATTGTTAATTGGATAGCTGAGTTCTAATTCCTGTTGGGTTTGTTATATTCATTTACATACAAATACCCTTGAGAAAGGTACAAATCCACCTCTTCTCCCCACCCCCAGCAATGGCTTAATTAGTAAGGCTTGTATCATTAAATCATTATCTCAAAAAAAAAAAAAATTCTTAGAATCTAAAAATATTTTCTGGTTTTAGATAACCTGCAATGGGTTTATGCGACATAGAAAACAGCAAAATTGTCCAAATCATGTAACAGCTTAATTATCCATCCAAAAAGATGTTTAATATCTAAAAAACCACTAAACTAATTGAGTTTCTTTTTTTCCAGGTTTTCAGATAAGCCGTTTAGCCATCTTGACACCTTTTTTTTTTTTTTTTTTCATAAGAATCACTGAAAAGCCTTCAAGTTATTCAGCTAAAAAGAGAGCAGGTTAAAATTGTTCAGTGTCAGACTCACTGTCTGCCCAACTGAGCAGTGGTGAGAGGAAAAAGATAATTCAGGCCTTCAGTCATGGTACCAACATTCATACTCTGGCTTCCATCTTCAAAGTCTATTCAAGAAACATCAGGAGAATGTTGAATAAGTTTAAAAAAGAGGGAACAGTAGAGAGGAAAACTCGATTAAGAGGACACAACAGGAAGAGGGATAATCACTTCAACTTAAAGCTAAAGAGATCAATTAGAAAAGGTCCAACTCAATCCACAAGATGTTTGGCATATCAAAAAAGGTGTTTCAGCTATGCTAGTCCAAAGAGCAGTGAAAAAAGACTTGAAAATGAAATCACATGTGAAACTTGTGAAGCACCTTGTTCATCAAGGACAGAAAATTAGAAGGTTAGAGAAGGCAAAGATCATCTTGAATAAGTTGGAAAATGACCCATGAATAATATATATATATATTTGAACTTTATTTCAATACTTCATGAGCTTTCAATCCTTAGCTATGATTAATTAATGATGAACATGCCATTTTCATTTGTGATTGATTTCATCACAATACTTCTGCTAAGCTTAGAGTAATTGTACATTATTATTGCTCAAAGTAGCAAAGTGTTATAAAAACCTTGGAGAATTCCAGTAATATATCTTTAATCATTTCTAAGATAGAACAGTTCAAAGCTTAATTTAACAATTAGACAATTTTGCTCCTACATGTTTTGGACAATTTTGCTGTTACACTTGTTTATATATATATATATATATAGGACCAGGACAAGAGGCCCAACTACTGTACTACATCTCAATTTTCATAAGTTAGTATTCATCTAAAATACAAATTTTATTGTAACCTAATTATCTACAATAATGAATCATATACAATAGAGTTGAATGATTCAACAAGAGAAATTGAAAATAAATACAAATTAGAGACATGCCATTCCATCTTGTATAAATCAACAATGTTTTGCAGTAATTTTTAACATCAACTTGAGATTTTTTTTGTTAAAAAGTTGAATAATTATGAAACTACTCTAAATACAGTTTATTCTGTGTTCAATTTTTTTCTCTCCTGTATTAAGTTTGTTGTAACTGATCCATACAGCAATGTTTTAATTGTTTAATATCTACTAAATCCACATCCTGAATATATATATATATATATATATATATATATATATATATATATGTAAAATATGTGGTGCGGTTCAATTTATATTACAATGAATCATTAATACAAAAAGTAAATTAGTAAAGTTAATGATATAAAATGGCAAAATCCCTTCGCTAACAAAATTTTGTTAGCAAAGGGTTTTCACCATTTCATATCATTAACTTTACTAATTTACTTTTTGTATTAATGATTCATTGTAATTATATATATATATATGTATATATATATATATATATATATATATGTAATATAAAACTGTAATTTCTGCTCTTACAGTTTCTTTTCTCACACTTCTTGCCTGTGGAACTCCAGTTTCTTGCTTTCCCACCACCTATGATTTTCAAAACTTTATTTGCAACGTCCATCACCACCGTTTGTCTTCTTAAATCCTGCTCTTTCATTATTCTTTCTCTCCTCACTAATGTCTTCTAATTTTTTTCACTTTCAGTAATGCCTTTTGTCTTAGTAGTGTCAAACCTAGCTTGAGGTGAAATGATTAAAATATATGTGTATATAAAAGGGTTTTTTTTTGTTCTTCACTTCGCTGTCAGAAAAATTATCAGACATGATAAATATGAAGTAATGTGAGAAAGAAGAAAGGAAAGAAATTCAAGATGACAAATTTTCAATAAAAAAAGCAAGATAAAATTTTCAAATAATTTTTCAATTTGCATCAGAATGACTGACTTGTAAAGATGTCATGCCACATATGTGTACTTGATGGTATCCCTACAATAGTCCTTAAGAAATGTGCTCTTAAACTGGCTCCTGTTCTCTGTGATTTCTACAATAAATGCCTTCCTGATTCTTTCTTTCCTACTTGTTAGAAATCCACATCTGTAGATCCAGTCTTCAAGAACTCAGGCAAACCATCTAATCCTTCTATTGACCTATTACACTTTTTGGTAAAGTACTAGATGCTCTAATCAACTCTGAATTAGTTAAACATCTCACCTCATGCAACATAACTTTCACTTCTCTAGGTCAACTGCAAATGTATTAACAATTATTGCAGAAAGCTTTAGATAACAATGGTGAAGCTTGGGCTGTTGTTTTGGATATCTCAAAGATATTTGACAGTGTTTGGAATACTGTTTTTTGTTTTTTTTACAAGTTGAAAATTATGGTATTTCAGGATGAATTTTTGAACTGATTCAGCCTTTCTTATCTAATCTCGAAATGTGGGTTGTCTTGGATCTTTTTGTATTAATGCAGGCATCCCCCAGAGTCCTATCCTTGAACCTAGACTGTTCCTAATTTTCATCAATGACTTTCCAGATGGCATCAGTTCTCAACATGATATCTATACTGATGACACAACTATTCACTTTTTCTTAATAGTAAATCTGATCAGTTTGAGAGGATCAAATTGAGAGCTGATTTAAAAAATGACATAAATCCTGATGTTAACTGGAGTAAGGAATGGTTTGTTAATTTTAAAACCTCCAAAATGAAATTGCTCTTTATTAATCATCTGAAAGAACCCTTTATGCCTTCCATCAGTATGGCTGATGCTAACCTCCATAAGCTGACAGTTTGCAGGA